AGAATTCATAGTGGGCATCACTTTTATTCACCAATTATTTAATTTAATTCACTCGTAGGTTAAATTCCCAACTCTATGTATGTTGATTTTAATTAATTAATAAGTTAATGAACCTATATGCATATGTATGATTATAGAATCTTATTGGGGGCTTATTCCATATCATACGAAGACGCGTGTGAGAAGTAGAACTTAACAAACCCCAATGGAATTATTGAGTTAAAGAGTCACACGTATTTACTTTTGGGATGTAATTTTCTAGTTCTAATTCTAGTAGTAGGCGTATGATGGAGACGAGACCGCGATCGCCTTTTTAAATAAATACGACAGGCTTCGAGTTTAAGTCATTTATTATTTAATTTGCTTATTATGTTATTTCCTTTTATTTTAGGTAATTGAAATAAATATCTTGCAATATGTTAGGCAAGATACTAGAATAGGACTTTTTCTCTTATTATTTATTGGTGAACTACGATGAATAACAGCAGATTATGATGAATTGAAATTTCTGTGTGTGCTCTTCTTGAGAGAGTATCTCATCTTATTCCCGTTCGTACTACGCTCTACATCAGTTGGTATCAGAGACCAGCGACGATCCACGATGCCGCCGAAGAGAGATAACGTTGACGATCGTTTCCAACGAATGGAAGAGCGATTCCAAGGGGTGGACGACCGATTCACGGACATCTCATCGGGGATTGAGGAAATTCGCCAGGCTATGAACACCTTGATGGAGGAGAATCGTGCGAGACGCGACGGCGGTGACCGGGCCGGGCGCGGTGGGCTTCGCGGAGGCCGTGGAGGGCGTGGCTATGGCGGGGCGCCCCGCCGGCGTTCGCCAGGGACTCCGTCCGGCACTGATGACGAGGACACGTTCAGCGAGGTGAACCCGTTTGCTGGAGGACAGCGACGGCAACCACCGGACGACGAGTTCGGTCAGCAGCAGAATTATGGTGGGGGTCACTTTCCTCGCGGGGGTGGCGGCGACGACCAGAGGCGGCGGGAGGTACGCTTTCCGCGGGCTAGGGCTGATGAGGAGGACGTCGACCAATTTTTTGACGAGGAGGACGACTGGGATTATGATGTCCAGCGGCGGCCAGGGTTCCGTATGCGCGAGGGTTTTGATCGGGTGGGGATGAATCGACGTGACGGCAGGCGCCCGATAGAAGGTGGCGATGAGTCACGTTGGGAGCAAGGGTTTCGGGTCGAGATTCCCGAGTTTGATGGTGGCGTCGATGGTTCGGAGTTTGTCGATTGGTGGGCTGCGGTTGAAGCAGCACTCTCTTTCAAGGAGGTCCCGGATGAGAGGCGCGTTGCTTTGGTGGCTACACGTTTTCGGGGCCGTGCGGCAGTTTGGTGGATGAATGTAACTAGCTTGCGGCATCGTCAAGGGAAACGACCACTCTCGTCGTGGATTAAATTTCGTGAGCTTGTAGAGCGTGAGTTCGTGCCCTTCAACTATGATACAATTGTTTATCAACAGCTGCAGAATTTACGACAGGGGACTCGCTCAGTCAATGACTACACGATGGAGTTCCGGCGGCTTTTGACTCGTGTTGCTTTGCGTGAGACGAAAAACCAATTGGTGGCACGTTATGTCGGTGGGCTACGTGCAGGGATTCGCGAGACGTTGAATATGTTTAGACCCGAGTCGTTGTCGGATGCTCACCAACGAGCTCTCCTTGTCGAGCTCCAGGTTGCACAAAAGGCGGGCCCGTCGTTTCCTTCTTCTTCGCGTACGGGTGTGTTCACGGGTTCGGCATCCTCAGCCCCGCGCTCGACTCCTACCACAACGGGCGGTGGCGGTCAGGTGTCCGGGCGCTTGCCGGCGTTCGGCGACAGGGCCCAGCGAACAGCAGGGATGGGCGGACAGCAGCCGTCGGCGGCACCTTCACGTGGCGTTGCGGGTCTTCGCTGCTTCGGCTGCGGCGAGCCGGGACACCGCCAAGCGGTCTGCCCAAAATTTTCCGGTACGCGGGCTTTATTTGCAGACGAGGCTGGAGAGTTTGGGACTGCCGAGGGCTACGAGGGTCCTCCGGATTTTGATGCCGAGGCAGGCGCCGTTGAGGAGTATGTCACCGGCGATGTCGGGACGGCGTTAGTCCTTAGACGAACTTGTCTGGTCCCGCGTGGTTCGCCGGACTCACCGGTGGAGCGTCATCACCTATTTGAGTCCACATGCACGATCGGTACCAAGGTATGCCACTTTATTATTGATTCGGGATCTTGTGAAAATGTAATTGCGCAGGAAGCAGTGGATAAGCTACATATTTCGACCGAGCCCCATCCGCAGCCGTATACTTTGGCTTGGATTCAGAAGGGTACCGCTGTTACAGTGGACCGTCGGGTCCTGGTTTCTTTTTCTGTTGGGGCCAAATATAGTGATCAGGTGTGGTGCGATGTGGTACCGATGGATGCGTGTCATTTGCTTTTGGGACGACCTTGGCAGTTTGATCGGGCTGCTACTCACGATGGCCGGCAGAATACTTATTCCTTTCTTTTCGGTGGTGTTAAAATTATTTTGGTGCCCAATGCCCCTCGACTTCAACCGCCAGTAAGTGCGCCTTCTTCCGTGCTTGTCCTTTCACGTGCCGCTTTTGTGGCAGCTATGCATGACTCTCCGGTGACTTTATTACTTGTGGGCGTGGACATGAGTGCTGAGCAGCCACCACCGGCTGCCATTCTGCCGTTATTGTCAGAGTTCGCTGACGTTTTTCCGGATGATATTCCTTCCGGGTTGCCCCCACTTCGTGACATTCAACATAATATTGACTTGGTTCCCGGGGCTTCGTTGCCTAATCGCCCTCACTACCGGATGAGTCCTATGGAGCATGAGGAGCTTCGCCGTCAAGTTGAGGAGCTTCTCCAGCGGGGTGTGGTTCGTAGGAGTTTGAGCCCGTGTGCGGTCCCAGCCCTTCTCATTCCCAAGAAGGATAACTCGTGGCGGATGTGTGTTGATAGCCGTGCAATTAATAAAATCACGGTTCGTTACCGGTTTCCCATTCCTCGCCTCGATGATTTG